TGCCACCCCACTTGGCTCATTTCATATTTTTGGTAGAGATGGGCTTTCACCATGTCAGTCAGGCTAGCCTCGAATACCTGACCTCAAGTGATCCACCTGCCTCAGCCTCCCAAAGTGCTGGGATTACAGGCATGAGCCACTGCACCCACCCTCAATATGTTTTTTTAATGTTATCACAGTTTAGAACTATAAATGTTATTTTTTTAAATTGAGAAATTCATAATTGTCTCTGAGCCCCAATTATTCAGTCAGTGTTCAACATCTTTTGTTTCAAAGAATCTAACCATTGTCAACCTTGTTATTTTACTCTTCTTAAATCAACTCATTTTTCAGTGGCTTTGAACCAAGCAGTTCTCTAACATTACATTTGCGAACTTCATAAAATTATGCATCTTTTGTACAATTTTTGCAATTTCATTCTGAAATCTATTGTTTGCATTGTACTGTGAGATCTTTTCAAGTATCTGGCCTTGTGGCAGCAAGAATGCCAGTGTTAAAGATGCAGCATGTCTTTAGTTGGGCATTCATTTTATAAGTGATCAGGTAAGTAGTAAACATTTTCATGTCATATTTATATAACAATAAAGTTTAATTTCTCAGTATAACTCTAAAAATTTGAATAACTGAGCAATACTGTTAAATTTACTTGAATCTATTTCAATATTAATTATTGTGTCTATACTTACAAAAGTCTTTTATTATACTTTTAATCTAGTAGTAACATTGCAGTTTAATATATTTAGTAGTTAACATCTCTATCATAAACTAGTCTTCTATTTATAAGATATTTTGTGGCTCATATCATTAATTTTTTCTAGTTAGGTTTACTAAAGTATACTCTAAATATAGTAAAATACTTTTTTAAGAATTCAGCTTAATGAATTTTGAAAAACAAAGACTGTTAGGTAAACAACACAGCAATAAAGATACAGAATATTTTCATCATCCAAAAAGGTTCCTGAATTCTCCTTTGTGGTCAAATCTCTAACTTAACCCTCAGTCCCTGTTAACTACTTATCTGACTATCCCCATAGTTTTGTCTTTTGCAGAAGGTTATCCAAGTGCAATCATACAGTGTCTTTGTCTCTTACTTCTCTCACTTAGCATACTGCCTTTGAAATTCATCCATTTTGTAGCATGTATCAGTACTTTCTTTTTCTTTTCTTTTATTTCTATTTACTTTTATTTCTTTATTTTCATTGAATGGCTTTAACATGGTTTGTTTATTCAACAGTTGATGGACATGTGGGTCAATTTCAGTTTTGGGAAATTATGAATAAAATTACTTTAAGCCTAGTCCTATGTCCTGGATAGTTTTGCCTAGATTTCCTTCTATGGTTTTTATCGTGCCAGGTCTTATGTTTAAGTCTTTAATCCATCTGGAGTTAATTTTAGTGTAAGGTGTCAGGAAGGGGTCCAGTTTCTGCTTTCTGCACATGGCTAGCCAGTTTTCCCAACACCATTTGTTAAATAGGGAATCCTTTCCCCATTGCTTGTTTTTGTCAGGTTTATCAAAGATTGTATAGTTGTAGATATGTTGTGTTGCCTCCGGTGCCTCTGTTTTGTTCCATTGGTCTATATCTCTCAAGGACTTCATGAACAAAACACCAAAAGCATTGGCAACAAAAGCCAAAATAGACAAATGGGACCTAATCAAACTCCACAGCTTCTGCACGGTAGAAGAAACAGTCACTAGAGTAAATCGGCAACCAACAGAATGGGAAAAAATTTTTGCAGTTTACCCATCTGACAAAGGGCTGATATCCAGAATTTACAAAGAACTCAAACAGATTTACAAGAAAAAACAAACAAGCCCATTCAAAAGTGGGCAAAGGATATGAACAGACACTTTATGAAAGAAGACATATATGAGGCCAACAATCATATGAAAAAATGCTCATCGTCACTGGTCATCAGAGAGATGCAAATCAAAACCACATTGAGATACCATCTCACACCAGTTAGAATGGCAATCATTAAAAAATCTGGAGACAACAGATGCTGGAGAGGATGTGGAGAAAAAGGAACACTTTTACACTGTTGGTGGGAGTGTAAATTAGTCCAACCATTGTGGAAGACAGTGTGGCGATTCCTCAAGGCCTTAGAAATAGAAATTCCATTTGACCCAGCAATCCCATTACTGGGTATATACCCAAAGGACTATAAATCATTCTACTATAAGGACACATGCACACAAATGTTTATTGCAGCACTGTTTACAATAGCAAAGACCTGGAATCAACCCAAATGCCCATTGATGATAGACTGGATTGGGAAAATGTGGCACATATACACCATGGAATATTATGCAGCAATCAGAAATGATGAGTTCGTGTCGTTTGTAGGGACATGGATGAATCTGGAGAACATCATTCTCAGCAAACTGACACAAGAACAGAAAATGAAACACCGCATATTCTCACTCTTAGGCGGGTGATGAAAAATGAGAAGACATGGACACAGAGAGGGGAGTACTAAACACTGGGGTCTATTGGGGGGAAAAGGGGAGGGCCAGTGGGAGGGGAAGGTGGGGAGGGATAGCCTGGGGAGAAACACCGAATGTGGGTGAAGGGGTGAAAGCAAACAGAACACACTGCCATGTGTGTACCTATGCAACTGTATTGCATGCTCTGCACATGTACCCCAAAACCTAAAATGCAATAAAAAAATAAGAAAAAAAATTACTTTAAGCAGCACATATGGATAAATATATGTTTTCATTTGCCTAGGGTATATACTTAGAAGTGGGATTGCTGGATCATATGGGCAATATATATAAAGCTTTATAAGGTTTCTTAATAATAACTGCTAAATTGTTTTCCAAAGTGGCTGTACCATTTTGTATTCTCACTAACAATGTATGAGAGGTCCAGTTGTTCATCATCCTAGCCATTTGATCCTATCAATTTGTTTAGTTTTCATCATTCTAATAGGTGTAGTGGTATCTAATTGTGGTTTTAATTTGTACTTCCTTAATCATTAAACATGTTGAGCATCTTTATATGTGTTTATTTGTGATTCATATTTCTTCTTTGATAAAGTGCCTATTCAAATCGTTTTCCTATTTTATCATTTATTATTGAATTATAAGTTATTTTTATATTTTGTATAGAAATTCTTAAGCAGACACAAATATTTTTATCCCAGTCTATTGCTTTTTTTTTTCATTTTCTTAAGAGTGTAACAGTGTCTTCTAGAGTAGAAGTTTTGAATTTTGATAAAGTCCAATATATAAAAATTCCTATGGTTCACAGTTTTTATTTTCTAAGAAATTTTTGCCTAATGCAAAGCCAAATAGATTTTCTACTGTTTTCATCTAGAAGTTTAATACTTTAAAAAAATTTTTTATTTTATAAATGCTCCTATTGAATTAATTTTTATGTTTTCTAGCAGGTAGCAGTCAAGGTGTTTTTTTAATTTAGAGATGAATATGCAATTTTTCTAGCACTATTTGTTGAAAAGATTAGCCTTTCTTTATTGAATTCACTCTGCAACTTTGTTGAAAATCAATTGACTTTGTTGGTGTGAGTCATATTTCTGGACTCTGTTCTGTTCCATTGATCCATGTGTCTACTATTCTTTTACCAATTTCACAGTCTTGATTATTGTAGATTTTAGAGAAAGTTTTAAAATCAGGAAGTGTTAAGTCTTTAAAATTTGTTCTTTAAGAAAATGTTTTGGCTATTCTAGGGCTTTTCTTTCCTGGGTATATTTAAGAAACAGCTTGCCATTTTCTACACTAAAAAAGCATTTTGGGGTTTTCATCAAGATTGTGCTGCATCTACAGATCAGCTGGGGGAAGAACTGACATCTTAACAATATTAAGACTTCAAATGAATTAACACTGTATATTTTTCAGTTTATTTAGATACATTTTGATTCCTGAACATGCAGTTTTATCATGTACTAAAAAAACACTGGACTTTTGATTAAAATTGTATTAAATATAATTTTATAAATCATTATAAACATCTCCTTTCCAAAGACTATAATTTTTATTAGCTTCCCATGTAAATTATTAAAACATAATTTAATAGTATATGCAAACAAGAGTAATTATTATTTTAGTATTTCTAAACAACAAGTTTAGTATTTAGTATTCTGCAACAATCTCTTTTCAAAGTGGCTTCTGGGTCAAGCAACTCAGGAATTACCACATATTATATGCAGTCTTCAGATTCTGATTTACTTTGGTCATTGGCTTTACTTGGTAATTGGATATTGCAAATATTCTAATATTGCTTACTTTGCTCTCCTGTTATTTTGTTTATAAATTTAGAAACCCATTTTCATAAAAGAGATTGATCTGTTCCATTTTCTTATCTTTTTTAGCAGGATGATTATGCTAGCCAGATAAAATAATTTATGAAATTTTCTCTGTGTTTTATAATCTGGGAAAATGTAAATCACATAGGGAATTAATTCTCTTAGGTATTTATCAAAATTTGACACAAACATGACATGTGGCACTTGATATCAAGTAGTAAAAATGGTTTTCTTCAGCATTTATTGCATTTTAATTTTTAAAGTATCTTCATTGCATTTTAAAACTTTTTTCATATTTTCTGCTACTCAAGTAGTTTTGACAAATAAATATAATTAGTGAAATTACGTGTAAAATGATATAGTTGAGACTGATTACATAGATAAATTCTTAATTTTTTGATATTAGCCACATATAGACTATTGTCTATAATCCTCTACTGGTTTTAAATTCTGTATTATTTTTTATTGTTGTATTGTTCTTCTAAAAGATGCTTTCAATGTGAGCTAGGTTGAATCCATGGATATGGAGCCTGTGGATGCAGAGGGCCAACTATACTCTATTGTTCAAGTTTAAGGCACTGAACCCAAATCCCTTGAAAAGCTGGCATCCTGAAATAAGTGGGCTACAATATGAGTGGCTTTTAAAGAGTATGTAAATAGGAAGAAATGTACATATTCAGATCAGACTTTCAGCTCTGAAAAACTACAGAGAATAATGAAAAGGTGATACTCACATCAGAGTTAAAGCGAAGCTGACAGACATTACAAGAAATAACTTGTTTCTTCTTTGGGGGAATGGATACTCCAAATGTATGGTTAATAACTGCCTTTTGCACAGGATCCATCTGAAGAGTAAATGAGAAAACAGTCAATTTGTAACTTCAAAGAAAAGACAATAGTGCGAGCAAATGAGAGTACCTATAATATTCCATAAAGTTTTAACTTGTAGTTCCTAAACAAGAATAATAAACAATCTCATTCAATAGTAATATATTTTTCTCCAAAAATTAAAAAAAAATGATATAAATTAAAACAAAAAATGGCTTTGAAAACGTAACTCAAAAAAGACCACAAGAGAATCACCATATTCCAAGAAACCTTATCTCTATAGAAGGAGCCTTGGAAAACCTTAGAATAATCAAAAAACAAGAAAACTTAAGATCTAAAGGTGAGGGTTAAAATTAATTTTTTTCCCTTGAAACAGGGTCTTGCTCCATTGCCCAAGCTGGAATGTAGTGTGGCATGATCATAGTTCACTGCAGCCTCAACCTCTGGGCTCAAGTGGTCCTCTTGCTTCAGCCTCCCAAGAAGCTGGGACTACAGGCTTGTGCCACACTATGCCCAGCTAAAAATGTTAATGTTTTCCCTGTATGAGATAATAATACTTAAGATGGCTTCAAATGATGTTAATGACAATTATTACAAATATATATGTGCTTCTTAACTTTTGATGTATGGTAAAGTCATAAATGACAGGCTGTTACCAGAGCACGGAAAGTATTGATTGAATATATGTTTAAAATAATTTAACTTTCATGTGCCATCAACTGAAAATTATTCTACTGAAAATGTGTGTCACAACTGTACACTTACATGCCTAAAACAGTTTGGCTAATATGCAACTCTTGTTTAAATATTAATCAAGTAAAGTTTTGATTTATAGCTTGTGATTTTCCCCTTTTGATTTGCATGTATCATATAAATTCAGATGATATACAGTGATGCAAGTACTGAAACAGAAAATGTATGGCACAAAGTCATGAAAACATTCAGGGAAAGAAACACCTAGATCTGCAGAGTCTAGAAAAGAGACACAGCAGTGACTCTCTTGTGTACTCCAGATAATAATCTCCAGCAATTACATCAGACAACTGGCAGTTCAAAAAGCAATGCAGATGATGAACAAAACATTACATGTTACATAAACAGATGTAACATGAATGAGGACAGATCCATTGACACCATTGTCTAGGAAATCTCCTGAGGTTAGAGATTAAGACTGGATTAGTTGATGATATTTGACAAAGAAAGAAATGACTACTAGCTTTGATCATGATTATAAATCACCAAAATGCAAAATTGGCAATTAAAAGATAAGCACATTAGAAAGACAAGTGGATTGAAGAGTTATTGAATAATAAATTTTCTGGTTACGAATTCAAGAGAGATAACAGGACATCGAATTCCCACAATAAAGAACAGTTATGGTGGTTTGAGACACTTAAAAATTCTAAGAGGGTGTCAGGCACAGAGTATTATGCCTATAATTCCAGTACTTTGGGAAGCTGAGGCAGGAGGATCAATTGAGCCCAGGAGTTTGAGACTCGCCTGGGCACATAGCAAGACACTGTCTCCATCTTTAAAAAAATGCTAAGAGGGAAGTTTTCTGGAGAGACAGAACTGTTCTATAGCCTAACTACAATGTAATGGTTTCACAAATCTATACATATGTTAAAATTCATAGAACTTTCCCCTCAGAAAGTCAATTTTATATATGATAATTTAATAAAAAAAACTTCTTAAGAGTATTATGTTTAACTACTAAATCTATCATATCATTACTGGAAAATCTAGGGATTCATACTTCTGAAGGTCATAATTGATTATATCAAATTTTATTTAATGAAAATAATAATTTTTAAAACTCTCCATGTGACAAAGAACATTTCAAAAGTCCAGAAAATAAAATCCTAGTTTACTTTCTTATTTTATTCATATTTTATTGCAAAATATGAAACTGTACTTTCTGACAGTTGCCAGACATGGCAAATGAATTTAGACAGGCTTAAAAATAAAACTAACTAACTTATCTTGGCAGGATGAAAAATCCCACTGTTTTGCAAAGTTAAAAAACAAGAGAATTTTATTGAGATAGTTTCTGTTCTCAGGCTCCAGAAAATACTTCCCATCTAGTGACATGTGAACTACAAGGGATTAAACAATATGAATATTTCCTAAATACTAGTTTTCTGCATGCTATTTTCATTTTTCACCATATCCATACACTAATATTTTTTATTTATATCAAATATATATATCAAATATTAAGATACGCTTAAACGGTACACTTTCCTATTACTCCTTTCAAAACATATATTGAAATTAACATCAACATTAAAACTTTCCTCAAAGTGAATGCCTGTATCGTACCTGTTTTCATGCCACAACATAGAAAGACGAAAGATACATTTACAAATATCTAGTTTCAAGTTTTTAGTTGACTATTATATCTATTGACAGCTCCAACAAGATCTTTGAATATAAATATTCTCATTAAGTTGTAAAAATTGTTAACTACATACATAATTTTTCACATAACTCCTAATACAGTTTTTTGTTTGTTTTTTGAGGCAAAGTCTTGCTTTGTGGCCCAGGATGGAGTGCAGTGGCATAATCTTGGCTCACTGTAACCACTGCCTCCCATGTTCAAGCAATTTCCTGCCTCAGCCTCCCAAGTAGTTGGGATTACAGGTGCTCACCACTGTACCTGGCTAGTTTTTTGTTTGTTTGTTTGTGTTTTTACCAGGAGTAAAACAGGTAAAAACCTTTTGTTTGGAGTTTAACCTGGTTGGCCAGACTGGTCTCAAACTCCTGACCTCAGGTGATTTGCCTGCCTCGGACTCCCAAAGTGCTGGGATTACAGGTGTGAACCACCATGCCCAGCCCCTAATAGTTTTATTCTGCTCAAATTTCACATTTGCACCATACTGGCCTGAAAATATGCCTTTGTGTCTCCAAGGTTGAGAGCTCTCCATCCTGAAAGGTGAGTTGTGGTTGAGCACTCCAAATAAAAAGGTAGGAAAGTTTCCATCCATCTGTTCTCTAAAACTCTGTAGAGTTCATGAAACTCCCCAGAATCAGCTCCTCCAGCTTCCATATGTAATCCTAATTTTTCTCATAAAATCAACTAAATAAGCACAGCCTTTCTACCCCTTATTTGCTACTTGTCATAAACTCTTGCTGCCTTTCATCCTTTGGATAACTTATCACTAATTTCATCAAGATTGCACCCCCATCTTTCTCACTCGGAACAGATTTTCTTTATTTTTCTCTTAATTCTCTATTTCCTTATAGGTTTCTGGAAAAGATTCACTTCTTCTTCTAGTCTAAATCTCTTTTCTTCTGCTGTTTATCACAAAATTCTGTAGTTATATTTTCATATTTAATGTCACTCTGGGGCACGTGATTTAGTTGAAAAGAGACTTTAAATGGAATAAAAAAGAATGCCCCATTTGACAATGTATCTGATTTTGAAACAGACACTACCAAACTAATGTTTTGAGTATTTGCCCTCTGATGCAATAACTACAAATACTTGAGTCATTTCAATGTGATCCAAATGTGACAGCAACGAAGAAGGCTTTCAGATACTTTTTAAGTAACAAGTATAAAGTGGTACAATTCTCAATTTTTGTTCTTAGCATTAGTACAATGCTCTAAAAGCTAGATAAAATAGCTATGACATTAATTTATGGTAACTTACATTTTTTTCCTCTGCTAGTGTAATGCCAGTTCTCTGTAGTCATAATGAGACGCATGTAACTAAATCGATGATAATTCTTTTATTTAATCACGAAGTTTCAGGATGAATAAAACATTCAGGATGAATAAAACCATTATCATAAATCTTACAATGTGATCAATGCAAATAACTCAGTTTAGTATAGTCAAAACTGTTTTATATCATAATGATTTCATGTGTAGATTACTCAAAAATTATTGGAGCTATTGCAATTGCATAACAAATTCATATTGTTAAAGATTCAGGTGACATTTCATAGACATTGTTAAAAATGAAGAAGTACTTTCAAAAATATTTCTTAAATGTTTGCAATATAGCTTTTAAATTAACAAATGTCTTATTAAGTAGTCACACTAAATTAGTTCATGTTAGTTCAAATTGTGCAAAAAAAGCTGTCTATGGTTTGAGAAAATTATAATTCATTAGGAAATAATACTAAAGAAGCTTTTTTTAAAGAAAAAAAATACCCTACCAAACAGATCTAGCTACCAATATTCCTTACCTGGCAAAATTTATTGGTCCCAAATAAGCCTCTTCTTTTCTAAAAAAGTAAAAGTTAGAAGCAGTCATCTGGAATGAGACTAGGAAGCACAATTCCATGAAAAATTGAAAAGCCCATTTTCCTTGCTTTTCTCTGAGTAAAAGTCTGAAACACTTACTAAATAAAAAGCAGCAAAAGTTAACACTTGCCACTTTTTCTAGTGAAAATGATGCAGAAATGAAAAGCAAGACCTATTAGTGCAATTAACTGGTAGGTAATAAAAATGAAAGATGAGGTTGCGGCTGTTACCAGGAATTGAGGAGGTAATTGGAGGCTATGTAGGGACAAATTAACAATTATATTGTAGTACTTATAAAATGCACTAATGAAGTTGGCCTTATCAGACCATCTATCATATTTTCAATATCAAAATAAGAACAAACTCTTTTTTTGGTGTATTTGAGATTGCAGGGACTACAAATCTATGTGAGTTTTTTTTTTAAAGAGCATTACTTTCTCTTGGTATACCAAAAAATAATTTACATCTGCACAGTATAAAGAGTCATGTAAAAATATGCAGTTGCAAGTGAAACCTAGACATAGGGAAAATAAACACACTGCAGCACTTCACTAAAGGTAGGATCCATCTAAGATGGGGGCTGTGTGCTCAAGTGACTTGACCAATACTAGATTATATTTAGACTCTAGAAAATTTTGCTCTGTGGGACTTTAGGCAGAGAAAATGGAATTATAAACTTGTTCAACTATCCCAGTACTTTTCAAGAGTCATGACATTCGAGTCTATTCTTGTAAGAGTCTTAAAAGGATTTAACTAGCCATCAGATAGCACTGGGGTGGGAACTTGGGCATCACCCTCATTACAAAACAAAAAGACCACTGAAGAATTGTACAGGACTTTCTTTTATCCATACTATTTATTTTATTCTCACAGAGTCTCTGTGGAAGGCAGTGGAGTGACTGAAGCCTTAAACTTAGGATCCTCCCAATTCAGCCTCCTGAGTAGCTAGGAGTACAGGCATATGCCACCGTGCCCAGGTAATTTTTTTTTTTGAGATGGAGTCTTGCTCTGTCGCCAGGCTGGAGTGCAGTGGCGCAATCTCGGCTCACTGCAACCTCTGCCTCCTGGGTTCAAGTGATTCTTCCGCCTCAGCCTCCTGAGTAGCTGGGACCACAGGTGCATGCCACCATGCTGAGCTAATTGTTGTACTTTTAGTAGAGATGGGGTTTCACCATGTTGGTCAGGATGGTCTCAATCTCTTGACCTCATGATCTGCCCACCTCAGGCCACCAAAGTGCTGGGATTACAGGCGTGAGCCACTGTGCCCGGCTGCCTAGCTAAATTTTTAAAAACCTTTATTTATTTATGGTAGAGAGACAGAGTCTTGCTATGTTGCCCAGGCTGGTCTTGAACTTCTGGCCTCATGTAATCCTCCTGCCTTAGCCTCCCAGAGTGCTGATATTACAGATGTGAGCCAACTTGCCCAGCCCATACTATTTGTAAAGATGAGAAAATCTCACCTTACACTGAGTGATCTATTTTAACCAATGTCCTAAAAAGCATTTGTTAAGCATTTATTACTTATACAGTATAGCAGGCCCTGGTAGTTCTAATAAACAGAAATAGAAACCAGGATTTTTACTTTTAAAATTTCAAGTCAGCCATTGGGCAAATATTTCTACAGTTCCAATATGTTTTAGATGCTGTCTCAGACTGGATAGGGAAATGAGTAAACACAAAAAGGTCATAATTTTAAAAGTTAAAAAGTGAAAAAGTTAGTACACACTCTATGCAATTGGAGGTTGGGAAAATAAGTTGCCATTAAGCAAAACAATGAGGCATGAGAGGCACAAAAATGTCTGTCCCCCCTGCCGCCACCCCTACTTTGATATTTTTTTCCCTTTGACAATGACATCCGTGTGTTATTCTCCCAGGACTTTTTTCTTTTTCTTTTTTCTAGCTGTGTAATAACAATAATAAACATCATTATAATAGCAGCTTTGATTTACTGAGATTTGCTAGGAACTATACTAAGGAACTACCTCCTGTAGTTTCCATCATCACACGAGGCAGACATGATTATTATCCTCCTTTTACTAATGAGGAATCCAAGGCTTTGAGAGGTTCGATAATGAATCACCCTCAAGTTCGTAGGTCAGCATTCAAACACAGGTAGGAGTCTCTCTCCACATTGTTCCCTGCTAAAGGAACACTGCAGGAGCCCTGAGTGTATTGCACTGCACTGCTAAAGGGTACGTGATGGAGAAGAATACACAAGCTTTCCTGAAACTTCTGCATCCTGGAAGGTAGCTGTCTACACAAACCTAAGGTGCTTAAGGAAAATTATCCTTGAGAAAGAAGTCTAGGTTTTCTCTTTCTGACTCATTTCTGATATTCTTAGGGTAGGCCCATTTCTTCTTGTGCAACTTCAGGAAAGCCATAAATAAAAATTTGGGGCTGGGCGCGGTGGCTCAAGCCTGTAATCCCAGCACTTAGGAAGGCCGAGGCGGGTGGATCACGAGGTCAAGAGATTGAGACCATCTTGGTCAATATGGTGAGACCCTGTCTCTACTAAAAATACAAAAAATTAGCTGGGCATGGTGGTGCGTGCCTGTAATCCCAGCTACTCGGGAGGCTGAGGCAGGAGAATTGCCTGAACCCAGGAGGCGGAGGTTGCGGTGAGCCGAGATCGCGCCATTGCACTCCAGCCTGGGTGAAAAGAGCGAAACTCCGTCTCAAAAAAAAATAAAAATAAAAATAAAAATTTGGGCTGTCCTGTCCTCTTTCTCCATGATAACAATTGGGTTTGCACACAGGGGAAAAAAAAAAAAAAAAAAAAAGAAGTCCTGGGAATATTTAGAGATTATGTGTTTGCAAGTGGCAGTCATCATTTGCACCTGTCCTCCATTTGCTGCAAAGCACCTGCCCTCGATTTGCTGCTAAGCAGAACTCAGCTACTAAATCCTTCTGACTTTGGGCCTCCTGGAAGTTTGGCTAAGTATCAACTTTTAAACTGTGATATTATGGAATTACTGCAGTACAAAAAGAATAGCTATTTTTTAATCACTTCCTTTTTCAATATCAGACATGGGAAAAAGATGTGACAACAGGGTCTCAATAGAACTTCAAACATTCATGAAAAAACATGTTTAGGTGATAGCTGTGTCACTGAAGAGCAATATTTCTTTAAAGTTACTTTAAAATCGGTTTTGTCTTTTATATTTAAAGACTGACCATATGTCTTTATGTTGATGTTTTGCTTTTCAAAAATCCTTGAAAAGTTGAATAGAAAGAAAACAGGCACAGCTATAACAAAGACAATTTTTTTTATCTTAAAAATCAAGAAATACAAAGGATTGTATTTTCTTGGCAACACCCCTTTAACCATATAACTTTTTTCTTTGACACAGCGTCACTCTCTGTCACTCAGGATGGAGTGCAGTGACTCAATCTGGGTCACTGCAACCTCTGCCTCTCGGGCTCAAGTGATTCTTTCACCTCAGCCTTCTGGGTAGCTGGGATTCCAGGTATGTGCCACCATGCTTGGCTAATTTTTTGTAGAGATGGGGTTTCACCATATTGCCCAGACTGGAACCATAGAACTTTGTACTATTTTGAATTTCACTTCAGAAGCTTCATTAAAAACACACCGCATGGAACATTACACAGGGAGTGCCTGCCACCATGGGATCTGCATGTTTGCATCGGAGTATGTAAGAGCCGAGGCTTGCCTTGCTGACACTGCTTCTCCTACCTAGAGCACCCTGACAAAGGTCCACCTAATGTGATCAGTGCTGCTGAAAGGAAGACGAATGGCATGTCACTCTCTCCACAAACTGTTTATTAAACCAAGGGTCAAGTGTTTGGGAAGGTGGTTTCCTCAAGAATCCCCAGTTCTTTCCTGAAACCATATATTGGTTGTGGCTTGCAAGCAACAACATTAACTGGGCCCCTCTTTCACTGGGATATAATTACCCAAGGAGAAAGTTAACCATTCATTCGGAGCTGTTATAAAGGCAATAACAACACAACACATACTTCAGAAACTAACAGATTACATTATATCTAATTCCCAGATCCAGGGAAGCTTTATTATTATTGCTGCTACTACTGCTATTTTATTAAAATGTTGCAGGCTTTTAAGTATTTTGAGGCTAGTTGACTACTGGCAACATTTAATAGTCGCCAAAATTAGGTGAAACCCCAGGATTTCAGTTTCTCCCACTTTTGTAGAGCCTCCTTAATGACAGTATATATTCCTTATAGAAAACATAAGGGAGTCAGCCCAGAGATAAAGTAGCGTAGCAGAGTAAAGTACAGAATAGCATTTTATTTTTTCCCTCTGTTTTCTAAAATATGAATTAAAGCTTGATATATTTCACTCCAATTCCATATTGTCAGGGCTCCTCTAAGAAACTCTGGGAATTACCAAACAAGAGTTGTATATTTCATTAACAGAAAGGATGACTAAAGCCAAGAAAAAAAAATCCTGTGATGTTTCTTGAAGATCTGTTTTGAAAAGAAGACTGGCTGGGTATGGTGGCTCACGCCTGTAATCCCAGCACTTTTGGAGGCCGAGGCGGGTGGATCATGTGGCCAGAAGTTCAAGACCAGCCTGGCCAATATGGTGAAACCCATGTCTACTAAAAATACAATAATTCGCTGGGTGAGATGGCAGACATTTGTAATCCCAGCTACTTGAGAGGCTGAGGCAGGAGAATTACTTGATCCCATGAGGCAGAGGTTGCAGTAAGCCAAGATTGTGCCACTGCACTCCAGCCTGGGCAATAGAGGGAGACTCTGTCTCAAAAAACAAAAACAAAACAAAACAAAACAAAAAACAGAAAAGAAAGAAAGAAAAGAAGATTAAACTCTAAACTCTGTATTTTCTGGTCTTTTATTCTGGAGAAATTTCATCTTCATTCTATTTTGGGGTTTCTTTAACAAAATAATGTCCTTTTTCTAGATGACTCTGGTAGTAAAAGGTGCAACTGTTTTAGAGGTAAGGGTTTCATATCAACTTTAAATATTCAGTTCTGTC